GTGGCCAATTTTCCTATACTTTTTTTCTTATGCATTTCTGGTAGGAAAAGCGCCATGTGAAGCATTTTAATCCCTCTATCACACAAAATTTTGCCATACGCTTGAACCTTACTACAACCCTGTATAAAACAAAAACCTTATTTTTATCCCTAATTTTAGGCTTGAAAATAGGAAAAATATCATTACGCTTCAAGGTGATTTTGCCACTCAAAAATTACAACGAGAACTAATTTTTATTGAAAAAGAGCGTATGAAGACACGAACAAAACAACGATTCTTGTTTTAGCCGCGTCTAGAAGGAATAACATGCGCGAGAACGATAAACAGTGAAAATGTTAAAGAATGGGAATCTTAAGACAAGAGAGTGTTAGAGGAGGACTTGAAAGTAGTGCTTTAGAAACCTCTGATAATATTAAGGCCCGCAATAGAGGGCGTTATTGCTGTTTCAATTTGATTTTATAAGAACCAAATGGATGCTAAAACGAACAGAATAACACGAAATAGCATGTTATACTTCTTGTCTGTATCAAATAAGTGAGCATACCATGCGTTTGTCGCCAAAAAGATGTTGTTGGGAACAAAATATGGTTATTTAGCTTATTTACCAGAATTAGAAATTATTGAAAATAAAAGTAACAGCTTTATTAGAGCGGATGCAAGACGATGAATGTCATAAAACAGAGTATTTGAAGACAAATAAAGGCAAGTTTGTTACATTTCTGATATTTTGGGCGGAAATAGACAAACAATAACATGGTGATTTCAGGTAATTTGACTACTATCTCTGAATCAAGTGCCTAAAAATCGATGAAATTAAGACAATTGGAGGAGATTGAACTAAGAAAAATAAACATAAGCACAAGCTGGTTGAAGTGAGGTTAATAAGAGGAGACAGCGATTGATAATGATGAACAGATTTTTGATTATTTTCTAAGATAGCGATTAACCTGATAAAGATGATCACAACGTTTCGAAGAAACGTTGTGATTCCTTGCGCGGAGCGGCAATTTNTTACATTTCTGATATTTTGGGCGGAAATAGACAAACAATAACATGGTGATTTCAGGTAATTTGACTACTATCTCTGAATCAAGTGCCTAAAAATCGATGAAATTAAGACAATTGGAGGAGATTGAACTAAGAAAAATAAACATAAGCACAAGCTGGTTGAAGTGAGGTTAATAAGAGGAGACAGCGATTGATAATGATGAACAGATTTTTGATTATTTTCTAAGATAGCGATTAACCTGATAAAGATGATCACAACGTTTCGAAGAAACGTTGTGATTCCTTGCGCGGAGCGGCAATTTTTTGAGTTGGCTCGAAGCAGGCTAGCGAAGCTGGCCGCGAGCCAACTCAAAAAATTGCGGAAAATTTGGCCAACGGAGCACAAACTTTTGGCCACCCCTGTGTTAGATATAAATTTGTTTAGAAATGAAAAAGATCTTGAAAGAGTAAAAGAGAGTGAAAGGAAGAGATTCAAAGACGTAAGTGTAGTAACTAGAGTAGCAGAAGTTGATGCAGAACTAATCAAAGCACAATACGAATACGAACATCTCTGTAAGGAAATTAACACCAGAATCAAGAATATTGGAGTTGAATTGAAGAAGAAACCATCTGATAAAGAGACTATTCTGAAGAAATACGATACGACAGACCAGAAAGAGACAANAATTTGGCCAACGGAGCACAAACTTTTGGCCACCCCTGTGTTAGATATAAATTTGTTTAGAAATGAAAAAGATCTTGAAAGAGTAAAAGAGAGTGAAAGGAAGAGATTCAAAGACGTAAGTGTAGTAACTAGAGTAGCAGAAGTTGATGCAGAACTAATCAAAGCACAATACGAATACGAACATCTCTGTAAGGAAATTAACACCAGAATCAAGAATATTGGAGTTGAATTGAAGAAGAAACCATCTGATAAAGAGACTATTCTGAAGAAATACGATACGACAGACCAGAAAGAGACAAAGTTAGAAATCAGTAGACGTATTGAATCACTAACATCCGAATTATCTATCAAACTCTCTTCAATTGGTAACATTCTTGATGAAAACGTTCCAGTCTCTAAGACAGAAGATGGCAACAAAACAGTGAGAGAATATCACAATGAGAATCTCCCAACTACACCATTACCATTTGCAGAGTTGATGGCTCCATTCACCAATTCAGAAGCAGGATCAGCCGTATTTGGTCATAGAGGATATTTCTTAAGTGGAAAAATGGCACAACTTGCAACTGCCCTGAAAGTATATGCTGGTACATTTTTACATCGTCGAGGATTCACTCCAATTCAAACTCCTGTGATGATGAGAAAAGAAGCCATGAGCAAAACAGCACAGTTGAGTGATTTTGATGAACAATTGTACAACATCACTGATCAAGAACTATATTTAATTGCTACATCAGAACAACCATTAACTGCTCTATTCATGAATAGGCGACTTACAGATGCTGATCTTCCAAAAATGTATGCAGGTGAATCACTCTGTTTCAGGAAGGAAGCTGGTGCTCATGGGAAATACAGTCAAGGGATATTCAGAGTTCATCAATTTGAGAAGATTGAACAATTTGTGATTTGTAAGGCAGAAGAATCAAATGACTATCATGAGAAGATGATGCGTACAGCTGAAGAATTCTACGAATCACTTGATATTCCATACAGAACTGTTCTGATTGCATCTGGTGAGATGAATGATGCTGCATCCAAGAAATATGATTTAGAAGCATGGTTTCCTAATGCTCAAAAATTCATGGAATTGGTTAGTGCTTCAAATTGCACTGATTATCAATCAAGGAATCTTAACGTATACTATGGATACGCAGCTAAGAAAGGACAGAAACCTGAATACGTCCATATGTTGAATGCAACTCTTTGTGCAGTACAAAGGACACTTTGTTGTATTGTTGAGAACTATCAAACTGAGGATGGAAGAATAAGAGTACCAGATGTGCTGNTCACTCTGTTTCAGGAAGGAAGCTGGTGCTCATGGGAAATACAGTCAAGGGATATTCAGAGTTCATCAATTTGAGAAGATTGAACAATTTGTGATTTGTAAGGCAGAAGAATCAAATGACTATCATGAGAAGATGATGCGTACAGCTGAAGAATTCTACGAATCACTTGATATTCCATATAGAACTGTTCTGATTGCATCTGGTGAGATGAATGATGCTGCGTCCAAGAAATATGATTTAGAAGCATGGTTTCCTAATGCTCAAAAATTCATGGAATTGGTTAGTGCTTCAAATTGCACTGATTATCAATCAAGGAATCTTAACGTATACTATGGATACGCAGCTAAGAAAGGACAGAAACCTGAATACGTCCATATGTTGAATGCAACTCTTTGTGCAGTACAAAGGACACTTTGTTGTATTGTTGAGAACTATCAAACTGAGGATGGAAGAATAAGAGTACCAGATGTGCTGAAGCAGTACGTTGATTTTGAATTAATTTGATTCATTCATACACTGTTCTAATGCCTGTTTTATCTCTATGAATTCATCACTTTCCAAATAAATGTATCCATTCATACCTAATGCCAAGCAATGTGATTTACATTTTCGACTTACGCTTTTAATTTCCTCTTGTAGATTCATAAAATGAAGCAGTTGCACTTTCCAGACATCCATTTGGAACACGAAATCAATTTGACCCAGGTTCATTTCATTACAGGTTAATTGCAATTCATTTCCAAAGATACCTGATATTTTGGCTAGTACCAAATCACCCGTATTCAATTCAGGTCTATTCTTCTTAGTTGCATTTGTGAATGATAGAAATGGCAGTATTCCAGTGTACATACTGTTGTGTACNATGTATCCATTCATACCTAATGCCAAGCAATGTGATTTACATTTTCGACTTACGCTTTTAATTTCCTCTTGTAGATTCATAAAATGAAGCAGTTGCACTTTCCAGACATCCATTTGGAACACGAAATCAATTTGACCCAGGTTCATTTCATTACAGGTTAATTGCAATTCATTTCCAAAGATACCTGATATTTTGGCTAGTACCAAATCACCCGTATTCAATTCAGGTCTATTCTTCTTAGTTGCATTTGTGAATGATAGAAATGGCAGTATTCCAGTGTACATACTGTTGTGTACATTCCCATGTGTCACATTGACTTTATAATAGTCGTTTTGAATAGCAAACACTCTTCCTATCACAATATCATGTACCATTGGTCTGTATTGAAGTGTTTTGGAAAAATTGAATAAAATTCTTCCCACTTTATACAGTTTTCCATCAGTTGTTGCCTTGTTATTCAGTATATTCATACACCTACGTCCTTCTTCTATGATTTCATCACCTGCTTTCACATTCCTTATGAATTTAAATTCTTCTATCTTCTTAAACAAATCAATTTCCATTTTTATACCTAAAATATTTTGATTTTTACATATTTACCCTAATAATTTATTCAATANTAATAGTCGTTTTGAATAGCAAACACTCTTCCTATCACAATATCATGTACCATTGGTCTGTATTGAAGTGTTTTGGAAAAATTGAATAAAATTCTTCCCACTTTATACAGTTTTCCATCAGTTGTTGCCTTGTTATTCAGTATATTCATACACCTACGTCCTTCTTCTATGATTTCATCACCTGCTTTCACATTCCTTATGAATTTAAATTCTTCTATCTTCTTAAACAAATCAATTTCCATTTTTATACCTAAAATATTTTGATTTTTACATATTTACCCTAATAATTTATTCAATAACAGATATATGGCATCATTGGATATGCTTTCTCATCCATTTCAACCACTTCAATCTGAATATCTTTCTTAGTCTCCTTCTCAATGAATCCTTTGAATTCATTCAAGTATTCCACTTCATCAAATGTTACCTGATACTTATTCATATTCATCAAATAATCCATACTGAATCCAATTCTCATTTTGCTGTTACTGTAATTCCTACTCTCTTCCAGAATACTCTTCTTTATCTCATCATTGTTCTTCCCACTCTCCTTCATCTCCTTTATTCTCTTCATACAATCCTCCTTCCAATCACTGTATTTATTTGCTACCTTAATCACTACCTTATCCTTCTTTCTTACCATATTAATTCGTCTCACCACTTCTTTAACATATTCAATTCCATCAATATTACCTATATCACTTTTCTCACCCATATCAATCTTCTGTCCAATTTCCTCCATCAGGTATCTTGTATAACTTGGTATTATTGGATATAACATCCTCATCATCCTATAATACGCCCATTCTTTCATCTTATAGTTCATTCCACCCATGGTCTCATACGTCTCAATCATAGCATTCATGTTATAGAAACCATACTTCAATGCATCCCTATAAATCATATTCCCATACGCCTCATTTGTTCTCTTCTCATTTTCATTAACACTTTCAACCAAATACGCATCAATCAACCTGGTTTCAATTGATCCAGTTTTAGGGACATTCAACACATTCTGAGCCAAAGTGTACAATTTGAGCACAAATGAGTTAGCAACACTCTCTACGAAGTTGGCATCCTCATTTGTGTCACCACATGCAGCCAGACACATTCGAGTTGCAGATGGTCCAAACTTCTTTAGAGCATTTTCAACAGTCAGGAAATTCCCTTCTGATTTGCTCATTTTGGAATTGTTCAGCAATAAATGCCCATTTGTGAATATACGTCGTGGCCAATATTCTCTATTAAAACAGGCTACGTGATTCATTAGGAAGAATATCAGGTGATTATTGATCAGATCTTTTCCAGATACTCTCAAATCAACTGGATAGAAGTATCTGAAACTACTTCTTGCTTCCACTGCAATTTCTACATGTTTCTCTCCTTCTTCTCCAAATTCATCCAACTTCTTTCTCAATTTCTCCTGATCAATTTCACCAAAAACAAATTCCCATAGTTCGTTACACAGATACTTCTTGCAGTAGATTTCATCATTGCCCTCTAGATCACCAAATAGTAGATGCTTCACCGTGTAGAATGCCATATAAATGGTTGAATCACTTAATGAATCAATTAGCACACTTTCATCCTTATGGAATCTAGTTCCCAATCCAAATGACCTACTGAATCCCCACTTTTGAATCCAATCTAATGCTCCATACAATTTGGCACTGGTGTCTTCAGAGCATTTCAGTTCTCCAAGACATTCCCTGGTTCTCTTCTTCCACTCTTCATTCCCATAATCCAAAAACCATTGATCCAATAATGCAACTGTGCATATTCCACCTGATCTAGAAATAACCTGATCTTCTGGAACATAACATACCAAATAATCACTTTCTAATCTACTACTACCCATCTTGATTCTCTCAAACTTCTCTTTATCCAAATCACTTATTGTTTCACCCTTGCTTTTTAAGTAACTTCTTTTCAACACTTTTTCACCTGATATATTGCTCTGCCTTATCTGATTATTAGTTGTATACCCTTTTATGGTGTATAGCGTCTCCTTATTTGTTGTGGCATAGTTTAACAATTCAATAAACTTTTATTTGAACCTGCAAAGAAAAATCCTGGTTTTTACATTAACCTGTCGGCCAAAATTGTAGAAGCAGAGGTGCCTGCTTGTTCATAATTGGATACAGTATACTTTACCGTGAATGTCAACTGGTATTATAAGCTACAATAGCTTCGTTTTAAGCATCTTAGGACACAAATTAGATATTTCTAGGTTTTCTTTCGATTTATCGCTTTTTGATTAATTTAATCGGATGCTGTGTGCATTTAAAAACATATACTGTAATTCTAATTGTGTTGTGTATTACATTCTTTTACATATTTAAACTTAATATTGATATGAAGTGCTTGATAAATTTTGTAGGTTCTTCTTAATAGTATTGTTGCATCGCAATAATGAATCATAACCCCGATTAAACCAATAATTTTCAATTTCCTCGTTTCTTTCTAATCAGGTATGGTTTTTTTGCACTGGGATTTTACTATTAACTATTTGATATATTCGAACTGCCAGAATATAACCATTTATTGATTTGGAAGCCTTTCCCCCAACAGTTTACTGTTTAGTTTGTATAAAACCAACTATATGTATCTTATTATTTATTAACCAGGGGAGTTTCTTGTCTATTACGGCTAAAAACCAATCAGAAGAAGCTGTGACTATCTAGTTAATTCAATTTGAGTAATAATTATGCTTAAAGCCATGTATTATCCACTATGGAGATAACAATTTACCATTATATCTGATATGTCCATAACCATCGTTTTCTTGCTGTAAATTCTTATTTGTTACTACTGAATTATTTATATCGGTTCTGATTTATATAGTTTTTAGTCGTAACATGTCCACACGAACTATACGTACTCCTGAAATTTTGATCATTTGAACATTGATTCCTGAGACATTAGGTGCACTGCTAAGCTTCAAAATAGCTTAATATACTTGGAGCAAACCCAAGTATGAGCTTTTATTTACTAAACTGTTTGTTTCACTGCACATTTCCAAATTTTTCCAAAAGGTTAATAGCTTTCAACGAAATCTTATTTTTAATCCCAAATAAACGTGCAGAGTAATAACATGACACATCACTCAAGAAATCGAATATTAATGTGGTAGTATACAGATGAATAACACGCAAGGTGATTCATACAACAATATAGGGTTATTTCTAGAGTTTTGCTCCCTGTATAGCACGTGTACAATAGCTCTTAAACTGGGCTAATATATATAACACTCTACATTTGAATAGTGTACCTGACATAAACACAGGTATTTGTTGTGGCTGTCAGTAGTGGAAAAAACATGTTGATTAGGCCTTTGCTTATAATCCCTGATTTTACGTTGTGTATAAAAGTGGGTGATTTAGATGACAAACACGCTTTAATCTCAGTAAAATATGGTTATACAATACTACGATCAGATTATTAACTACAAAAAGAACTTTGTTTGCTAGAAAAATGCAATATTTTAACCTTTTGTATCTCCAATAATTCTTGTACAATGTTCCTAAAGTTTATGAATACCAGAATAACTCGCAATACTTATATTAACCTTATAAAACATATTATTACTTCGTTCATCACCTTAAAACATAACAAATACATCAACCAATAGGATATCTTACCTGTAAAAATCACCAAAAATATGATGGACATATGTAAAAGGATATATAACATGGTGTTAAATTATTCTCAAGTCTATTTAACTAACAACACACTAGTTTGTATATCCAAGAGAACATGAAATAACAGAAAATGTTATGGGACCATAAATCAGTTAAATGTTGTGATTAATGGATGTTTTGATGCAATCCATGTTATACTGTGTATTTTGACACTTAAAAGCCTATGTGATGCGATCAAGAACATGAAAAATTCGAACCATAATAAACCCTTTTCAAATAACTGGTGACAACGAAAAAATATTCAGGTACAAGAGCAAATTGGTTCACCAGTCGAACACAGCAGTTGCCTTTTACATATCTAGTTTAAGCCCGATATACTCCATGTTTTATTAAACCTGATTAAAATATGTTGAATAATACTCAATAGTTTATTAAGGAGCCCCTAATATGAAAACGTTAATTGGATTTGTATTTCTATTAGTTCATTACTGTGCCTATGATCTGGAAATCCGTCTTGATTACAGCATAGACGACCTATACATCACTTGTAATACACCTGGAACCATCGTACGACTGATGGATGAGAGAAGAGTACTCGGGTTTGATGAATTTGTTGAAGACAACTTCCCAAATGCATTAGTGAGTTCATTTGCAAACAGATACGCTATAAACATATTCAATGACTATCAAATAGCCTCTGTATTCAGTATAAGAGACTATTTTGATCAGAATCAGAATGACATCAAGAGACTGCACAGGTATATTGAAACCAACAAAACAAAGGTCCACTTATTTGGCTCAATATTAAACTACAGGATAGTTTCTGACTATAGACAGAAGTCGTACGAAACACTGGTTAATAATGGAATGTTAGCCGCGAAGGTTCAGTTAGATCGAACCAGGTTGAACTATATTCTGATCGAGGCAGTGACACGAATAGGAAGTGATATCTATTTGTTAGAATTAGATGATGGAATAGGATCCTATTTACATACTCCTTGTTACGTAATCAAACATAATACGACTCTGAATCATTCAATCAAAATATGGAACAACACTACCCCATTTAACGGCATCGAAATTAGTAAAGTGAATAGCATAAGTGGACAGAAAATAAATCTAGATGAGTACGACAGCATGGTTGCACACAACTTTCACGTACTAGCCACCGGATTGATTGCAGCAACGAAAATTATGGAAATTAATGCTCTGCAGATGTTTGTGAACATCACAGTTGATGTAGAAAGCTACACCATAAAAAGAATGATACTTGATGTACTCAGGTTGAATAGATTGGAACTGAATAACTACCTAGATTTTGGATACATACACAAATTTCTGGATAGATTGATCGATATGACTATCATGGGAATTGCTAAAGAAAGAAAGGTTGTTAAACAGCTGCTGTTGAAGCTGTTCACACCCTGCGAAATAATTATGTTTCTAAGAAGCAGTCAAAGTGACACCCAAAACTACGTTGACTGGTGGAATGTGAAGCACACCAACATAAACATGTCTAAATACAATGCAGAATTATCTTTGCTTTGCATGGAAATGGATGTGATGAGAATGAAACAGCCAAGTGAAAGAGAGATTTTAATAGGGTTTAGGAGGGTGTTTAAGAAGAAGTTGAATTTGGATAAACTGAACTATTCATGCGTAGTAGAGAATGAAGGGCGTCAGAGTATACCACTATACGACGATAGTATAAAAATAGTAGAAGACAACAATAGAAAAAGGACTATGATATACTGTGCTATTGGATTCACGTTGATTGCAGTCTACGTATTTATAGTGCTACTCTACAACATTCTAATGAGCAGAAAGAAGAACAACAAGAACAAGCCATAAATAAGTATCGAGTGAACTGTTTATTGAATACTCTTAGAATGCCGTTTCTTTATGACTATTCAATAGGTGCAATGATTTAAATGAATCTCCTTGTTAGATTTCCTGTTTCCATAGGTAGGGTTTACGAATAATTGTTTCGTATATAGTCCATATGATGAATTTGTAACCTTTTCTGATACCACTTCAGCTGGCCAACACGCATGTCCCTAAATAAAACACAATAATTATCTTATTGTGGTCAGGGGCAGGGCTACGACTGCCATTTCAGGTGTTCATTAATAGTCTTTATCTGCAGGGAATATGAAATGTTCCGGGAAAGCTTTAGAGTTCTCGAGCAAATGATTGAAGTTGTTCCCTCTTACAAAACTATTGACTATTCACACCTGCCTGATTGAAAGAAGTTAATAATTCCATCTTATATAGCAGTGCGCTTATTCACGTAAATATCAGCTCCTCCATATTACGGTGTATTTGGTTGCTCAGAATTATTGTTTTTTGATCCTCTTACACATCTGTATATCAAGAAGATCAGTAAAGCAACTAATACAAACCCAATTATGCGTCCCAGTATGTAATTTGCACTCTTTTCCTTTGCATCACTCTTATCTTTTTTGGACGACCATCTGGGCGATCTGGGCGGTTTCGGTGGTGTTTTTGTTGATGTTCTAGGTGGCGTTCTAGGTGGTGTTTTAGGTGGTTTCATTCCAGGTACATGTAACCATTTCATTTCATCATTATCTATAATAAATATGTTTCGTGTTCTCATTAACTTAAATAGATCACTTTTGTACCTCTTTCCCTTGTACTCAAATGTTACATAAGCCTTCATATAGCTTCCTGTGTGCGTTTATTCATCATCCGCTTCATCAAAAAGTTTTGTAATGCGCCAATATGCTTGCTGATTCATATTGACTTTCACAATCGCTTTCTTTCTGTCTTTTATCGATAAGTTACAGAATTCTGATTTTAACTCCCTGATATATAAATATATTTGATACCAAATCTGCCTAGGTAAATCGCTAAAGTTATTCCTATAATCAGTTTTCTCTAATTCAGCTATCGCTCTCTTCTTTGCGTCATCGAAATCCTCTTCACTTTGAAGAAGCAGTAAGTCTCTAACTTCTTTTTCTCTTTCAGGCCAATAATCAGGATCAAACAAATTATCTATTTCTCCCTTCAAAACAGTTTGGGGATCACTATTCTTTGAAAGAACTCTATACATTTCTATCTCCATTGGTTTCTCACCATTACCCCAGTGTACACACAGATCACTAATATCAGTATCCTTAATTAGAACATTATCTAGCACAAAAGAATCTAAGCTGCCTTTTACAAAAGTGTACGGTGCTCTGTTATCCAGAGTATAGAATTTTTCGATCATTTGTATGCATGCATAGCTTCTAAAAAAGATGTTTACAAGCATGGGTATGGATTTTGATGTTTTTAATAACAGATAAAGGGATTAAAAGTAAAAATCTTTAAGTGACTATGTGAGGAGCGGATTCTGGGAATCACTTTCTTCGTCGTCTCTGCACTTTTATATCTAATTAGGTTTTTCAGCCCTAACCTGATGTGACCAATAACGAACAATTAAATCCGTCTTCCAACACCTAAGACTAAGCTGTTACCCAATACCAACAACTATCTCTTTGAACTCTTTAGAAGAAAAATGCTCTTATTTAACGCCTAAATTGGATGCATTCCATTGCTCGTGACAGATAATAAGCGAAATATACAGTGAATGCTCTTCGAAAAGGGTGATGGATCGTCTTCAGATGACTAATTTGCTGAATGAATGGACGAAAGTGGAACCAGTCAAACAGAACAAGGCGTATTCAAGACCAAGTAGCTCTCTGAGAATGAGCCCAATCTAAGGCTGGAAACAGGAAGGTTGAATACAAACGAAAGAGAGTTTGGAACGATGGCGTCCGCAGAGAGCATCTGTAATCAGTGATTCAAACTCACAACGTCCTCATATTGATATTACATGAATTATAAGCATGGCATAAGCAAGAATGAATGCAAAATACCTACGACCTATGAATCAATCGAGAATACGAACAGACTACTTGCGTACTGTACGCTTTGTAAGACGTAGATTGAAATCAACAGAAAGAACACTAACAGGAGCTTTGGGTGGCGCAGACACTATCGGAAGAATCACGCTAACTATTTCTACGACTTATAACAAATTACAGATGATCATCGTCCGATGTATTGCATTTCTGATGATGATTATGCTCTTGAATGTAATATTGATCATGCTGAATAGAGGAAATACATGGAAATGCCATCTAAGCCAAATTTATTACCTGAGGTCATTGATGTATCCTTCTTTATTTGATGCACATAAAGAAAAACGAACAAAACCATTGGTAAATTTACATTTCGGTGAATATTTCACACTTCTTCAGGCAATCTTTCAATTCAGCTATCATGAACTCATACACATCAGTGTCAATGGATTTCATATAGTTAATCATGCCAATTATTCCATCATCCACACATATTTTCAGGTCAGCGCACTTCTTTTTATACATCTTACCAAATTCAACATAATTTTCCACATCAATCACCGTAGTCATCAGATCATTAATCACAATATTGACACCCTTACACCTTGATTTCAATTCCTCAACTTCTTATTTCTTTACCATCTGTTTCAATTGCAGCCTTTCTTTTGTTGTATGCGACCATCGCTTGTTCTGTACCAATCATTGGGTTGCTGCTCTCTTCAACAAAGAAGTTGATATTGTCCAGTAACCTGATGACACAAACATTTTCATTTGTCTTAATCAAATTAATACCCATTTCCAGACCTAATTTGCTATTGAACTGTTTATATTTAACTTGCTGCAACTGTACCTGGAACATGTTGAATTTCTTACTGAATTTTCTTTTATAAGTAAAATTGATTTTTAAATACTTGAATAGTGGGAACCTAGTACAACTTACACAACATCATGTACTCATTATCTGCTATACTATTGATCAATTACATCAATAACAGACTTGAGTTTTTTTATGTTCTCCTTAAACTTCGCATACTTCTCTTCTAATTCAATAAACAAATAAATGGATGCATTAAATGCCCTGTGGACTCTTATTATTCTTGTACCATCCGACTTACTAACCTTGTAACCATGCCTATGACATGCTCTCTTTAAAAATTCAACCTGATTAATTAATGCATCTCTTCATGTGATATATAAATTCACATCCAGCATCACCTTCAAACTCTTATACAAATAAACGTATAGTTCTGATCTTGTTTTGAATTTGGTGTACTCATTACCTTTATTGTATCTCTCTTCCAACGAATCAATTATCTCTGGTAATCTGTGAGACATGTATCTTAACTTGCCTGTTATAGCATTTTTAGTTGAATTATGTATCTTGTACTTGGAATCAAAAAAACGATACAGTTTCTCAAATTCAGCGTAACTCACTTCCAACGGATCAGTTTTAAAAGCACAAGATTCTATTTCAATTGTTTCCACCTCTTTCTTGTGTGTATCCTTGTGTTGAATATATTCCTTCTCCATATTATCTATATCTTTGAAATATATAGCAGCTTTCACAATAATTAAGTAGTTCATATGGGTTAAGAATCAGTTCCGTCGCAATATCATTCTTAGTTTTTATAACTATCTTTCTCATAGAGAGCATAATCTTCTTGTAAGAAGATATCAATAGATCTCTACAGGCAACCAAATCATTATTTGCATAAGTAATCTCATAATGTTTGATATTCGTGTAAGAAATCATGTGTATTTTGATAGATAGCTGTAATCAAATAATAGTAACACACTATCTATCATCGTAATCAGACTATTGCAGAATGCTTCCAATATTCTGTAATATAGATCAATTATTTTCTGCCTGAATTCCTCTTTTGGTTTTACAATGGCGTTGTACTCACTGATACTGCTTCTTGAATTGTGGTATTCTTTCAATTATTACTGTTGTGCTTTTACTAAATTTACACCTAGTTATGACAAAGGGAGATAGCATTATACCCCTAATTAAACACGACAACACCAAACATGTCATCCTATAAGCTACCACAACAGGTTTTATTCCCTCTAAAATTTACCTATCTTTCAGATGCAGAGAATTAAGGCTCCATTAAATCACTCGAACAAATCGTTGTTCAAAACACACTTAAACAACAGGCATACCGGGCTAGCCAACCACGGAGATGATGTAAATAAATCATTTCATCTGTTTATTATACGTTACAATTGCCTGATATATTTCATTAATGCTTCTATTGTTGTAATTGCAGTCGTGTATTTTTTCAGTTCCAAAATCCATTAAAATATGTATGAAACATATTACATTTGGTTCAATTTGATCCAAGTAGACACCATCAGTCTTTTTAGCTTCATCAGAAAACATGTGTTTGAATATTACTATGATGATACGTCTATCGGTGATATGACGTGCTTCAGAAAGAGTAGCGCTGATATCGGTGCCAACTCTAACTGAATTTACCACTTTCATCAAACAAACACCATTGTTGTCTTGTACCAATTTCATATTGTTTGTAGTAGCATTTTGTTGAACACGGAATATTATAGTTTGAAATTGATTGTTAAATCTGTCATCCATTGGCATGAAATTGACAAATAGCTGAGTAGCTTCGATATCTGATTTTGGCTTTGGAGTTGGAGTTGAAGTTGAGGAGTGTGTTGGCTTTGGAGTTGGTTTTGGAGTTGGGGTTGGTTTTGGGGTTGGTTTTGGAGTTGGTGTTGATTTTTGTTTTGACTTGTCTTGGGATGATTTTATATCTCCGTTCACAGCTATTATAACACTTATACCAATAATTAACCCGAGAACTATGATTGTAGTGATCAATATTGTTAAAATTTGTGGTCTAGACAAGTTACTGATTTTCATAGGGGTAATTGATTAATACTAATTATAAAAGGAGTAGTATGCAAGAAATGTATTACGCTAATGATTCTATTGCATTGTACTGTATATATTTAACTATTTACATTGCTAACTATGCAATAACAAGAAAATAAGGTGTATAAAATCAAGAAAAATCACAATTTACTAAAATAAAAACTACATCTATAGCTAAATTCATCAATAATCATGTAAAATATAGAATAAATACCCAATTCAATCACAGCTCTCATTGCTTTCCACTGTCTTGTTTTCTAATCTGTCCATAAACTCCTTGATTTCACCAACTACGTGATCAGGTAATGTCAACATATTCACTTCAATCTCATCATTACCAACGTAACTGAAACTGCTGCAACTTCTCTGAATAATTTCAACAATCTTATCACTTTCTTCTCTTCCAACAGCCAATATCTTGTTTCCTAATGATTCCCTGATTTCAATTCCAAAAATTAGGTCATTTTCCAGTCTTTTTGCTTCCTCTAATGAATTCAATTTCATCATCAGGTCACTTATCTTCTTCCTGAGTTCTTCAATCTCTGCATCAGGTCCCAATTCCTTTTTACTCAATTCTCTCTTAAATAACTTCTCAAACTCCACTCCTAGTCTGAATATTTCAGAATTCTCTGGATTGTACAGTTTACAGTTCTCAACAATCAGAATCAGGTCATTTTTAAATCCTTGTAAGTTCTCATATTCTCTACTGGTTAACTTTGATCGTATTCTACTCATATCCATAGGATTCTTAATTATTGCAGAGTATCCTGGTGCTTCTGCATCTGTAACAGGTTGTGTGAATGCCCATGTTGTCTTTTTGTATTTCGCCTTCTCTAATTCATTCAGAACACCATTGGCGAGTTCAAAGTCACTTTGAGACATTTTCACTGCTTTAATCTTATTCTTCAAAGTTGGTTTCTTGTTTTGTTCAACTTCTTCTTTTGTATTCTCAATTGCTTCATATGCATTTATGAATGCCTTTTCTAATTCTACTCCCATCTGTCCAACTGGACTACTTTTTCCATTGTACAAATAGCAATTGTTGAATATCAAATTCATATCTGTTTTAAACTGTTCATTTGATGTATAACTGTTATCAGCGAGTTTCTTTTTTATTGTTCCTAAATCCATTGGTTCTTTAATTTTTTCTGCATAATCTGGAATACCAAGTGCAACTGGATCTACTGGTTGTAGAAATGGACCAGCATTTGCATTGGCACGCATCTTTCTCATGATGTTGTTTAGTATTTTTGGATTATACTTTTCTTCAGTAATATTTTCACTATTCTCAACTGACATGGGTTTGTATTTTGTAGAAAATGCTTCAAAACATTCAGTAGAGGATTGAAATTGTTCCCTCTTGCACTACTAGTGTGTTGTTGTACTTCATTCCTCCTCTTTTTTCTGTTAATACTTCCATGCCCTACATTTTCATGCAGACAAATGAAATGAAACTGTTCTTCTTCGAACCATTATTTCTACAGAATAACCAGCTAAATAATGAAACAGTATTGGATTACTTCAGTATATCACCGTTCTATGACAAGGAATCGCTCAATGAAATCATCAGAATGCAAAGTCAACACACGAAAATAAACATGCATGAACACCTGAAAAGAATGAATGGAATTTATTACGAAGTTGATAAAACACTCACAAGAGACAACAATCTATTCATAATTTACAAGAAAGAAAATAAACCAGGAAGAGAAGCACAGTTGATAACAGCATATTATGTAATGTTCGGATACATTTACGCATCTCCATCAATAGATTACTTATCAGAAAACAGAGTAGTAGAAATACTATGGAAAATGAATAACTGCCTAGATCTATATGAAACCAATACGAGATTTGATTTCTTACGAGGTGTATGCTCATATGATACAAATCAGGTTGAGAAGAATGAAGATGATGTGAAGCTCCTTGTAGACAGTATTAGAGAATTCGTGCACCAAAATAAGTGATTGTATTTGTAAGATGGTTGCAGTAAAAGAGACTTAAAACTTGCTATTCATATCAATTTTTGAATGAATATTGATCAATTATAGAACGCATACATTATTATGTCACATCTCACATTTCCACAAAGACTAAAACACATTCATGGCCTTGCTTTTGATAACAACATTTTATTACCTGTTTTCTCCTCCTCTCAATGCCAGTACAAAGTGTATAACACAGTTTGAATTGATCTTGTACTCTGTGAGTGTTTTATCTCCTTGAATCAACACTTTCCCATTACAAATAAGTCTCTGCTGCTCAGGCGGTATCTTCTCATACTCCTCAATCTTCTGTTTTAACTCAACTATGGTTGCAGACCCATCTATTTCTATTGCTTTATCTTTGCCTGTTAGTGACTTCAGTTTCAAGTTCATTTTGGGATGTAAAACAATCATCTTTTTATTTTGTAGAAGTTTCCTCCAAAATAAGCATGCATGTCGTGTGACCAAATACATCCAGAAGTGGTGTATCATCTTCATTCACACTCTCGCGCAATCCATACTTGGATAGGCTGAAATTCCCCAGTTTTCCTTCAAGTTTCTTGTTTTCTTCGCGTATTCTTGCAAAGAGATCCTTTGCAGTTGCTCCATCATCCAGTCCAATGAACATGGATCTGTAAGTTGGTAGAAATACTCGTACCTTGTAGTATTCTTCAATTATCACATCCTCGTACCCCTTTTGTGTTTCCTTGTCAAATTCATCCTCTTTCTTCCTGTTTTCGTCCTGGGCTGCCTTGATTTTGTCTTTAACTCGCTTCAACTGCATTTCTTTCTGCTCTGCCTGTTTCTTTAGCATGTCCTTATGCTTTTTGTTTGCATCTGCTGTTGCCTCTTCTTTTCTAGCCTTCTCTGTTTCCTCAGCTTTTTTAAGCTTCTGTAAATGTCCATAAACATTTTCAGGTGTAGGATCGCCAATTTCAGCCAGTGCATCTCTTATTTCTGTCTCATCCAGGCCTGCTTCCAACAACAAGTCTATTGCTTCACTTTGTTTTAAGGAGCTTTTGACCATGGGGGTTATTTTCAGAGACAAATCCATTAAACAAATGCAGATAGCAGGCACAAGTATGAATGTAGTTGTATTAAACTACTAATAGCAGCAAATATTCACTTTTGCTGTAGCAACCTGATTCCAATAGACACCAGTATTAGATAAATGTAGAATGTGACTACAAATGATGCACCAACTACTATGGAGCAACATATTGAATAAAGTATCTTCAATAAATCCAATAGCATTTTAACCCTTATAAAATGTTAAATCATCCATTTGAAGCTGTAAAAATATATCTTAAAATGAATGTGGTAGTTCATCTTAAGACAGGTGAGAAATATAAAGGCAACTTAAATAGTTTTGATGAACACTTAAATGTCATACTGGAGAATGATGACAAGTTGAATTTCATACGAGGAGAGAATATTCTATGTGTAGGACGTGAGTAAACTAATGACACGTTCATGAGAAGTACTTCTGATTTACATCACCGAAAGATTAGTTCTATGAATACATCTAACAAATTTATCTACAGATATTAACAGCAACGTATTCTATACTGTTTGGTTACAGTAGAATGGTATACTAGATATCCTAGAGCTGATAATAAGGCTCCTATTAACACAACTATAATGATGCCTATAAATGTGGCAAGTAGATTCTTGAACTGGTATTTTCCTCGTTGGTTATATTGTGGTACTTTGTGGCTAGGTCGGATTTTTCTTGAATATTTGTAAGCTGCATAGGGAAAGTTCTGGTTGACTGCTGTAAATTGCAATATTGTTTCGGTATCATCATCAATTGCTATAGTGGCTATTCCAACGATGTTATGTGGGTCTTGTACGACAAAGTAGTATATTTTGTTATTTGGGGTGGTTTTGTAATATACAAATCCATCAAACAAACATAGCTGTAGTCTCTTAACAAACGGGACCATCACCTTTATATCAGTGATTTTGATGACTATCTTCATCTTATTCAAGCAGAACTTGCATATATTACAATCTGAATCAGAATTATTCAGGCAGAATTCCACATTGAGAGACTCTGCATCGTTTTCTTCTATTTTTATAACTGCACCAAAATCAATTCTACTGAAATCACATTCATTTCTGTCATTAGTACAAGGTCTATGTGCTTTCTGCTTACCTAAACTGTACACAACAACATTTGCTAAAATTTGGTGAAATAGAAATAGGAGCATTTAGGGGATTAATCGAACTAAGAATAAAAAGAAAACCCCCAAATGATTAAAGAGCGTATTAAATACTTGCAAACAATAAAAACGAAGTTCAGTAACATGACATGGACAAAGGAAGTTGTAAAAACACATTTGTTCTATAATGAAATAGAAAAATGCAAGGCATTTTTAAGATATTCGGAATTTGGTAACAAAGAGGCTGATTTTCTGGTGCATTATGTAAAAGCATACGAAAAACTGAAAAATAAGCAAGGTGATCAGCGCATGCTACTGGAAAATGATGCACTAAAACATCTTGATTTTTTTATATCACTGTATGAGGCATTTGACGTAACGATAGACTACAATGCATTCAAAAATTGTGAATTAACAGTTGCAAATGCATACATCCTCTATCATAGATCTGAGTTAAGCTACTTTCTAGACCTGATTGTTGAAAATGATCCATATGCATCAAAGGAGCTATTTATTGAATATTCAAAACAGAATGGAATAAAAGAGTGCATTGTAATGAATGTACTGGAACATAGATGCTGTGATTGGGCATTTTACATAGCACTGAGAAACAACTGGTTGTAAAACATTTTGAAAATTTTGGCCCGATTATGGGAAAGTCACAGCCGCAAGTTAAAAAAGAAAAGAAACCGAAGACGCCGAAGGACATAAAGAAGGAACTAGAAGCAAAATTGTTTGGTGAAAAGGATAAGAAGAAAAAGAAGGAAATCCAAGGACAGATCAAGAAAATAGACATGGAAATAGAGGCCGAAAACAAAAAGAGGAAAGATGTTGAAATAGCCAAGAAAGTCACAATTAGGCAGCTGATACCAGTTGGAGTAGATCCTAAAACAGTATTCTGCTTGAATTTTAAGAACAAAAACTGTAATTTGGGTGAGAAATGCCAGTTCTCGCATATTGCGCCCAAAAAAGAAGATCAACTTGATGATAAACAGGATACTGGCCCAAAATTGGTTTGTAAGTTCCTGATTGATGCTCTAAACAACAGAGAATTCTCATCCGAATGGGTTTGTCCGCTCCCAAAGTGCAAGGATCTCCACAAGATGACAGAAATGTCAGAAAATACCGAAATTGAATTGAGCCTGGAAGAGTTCTTAGAATTACAGCGTCAAACAATTGATGCAGCCAAATCTACACCAGTTACGGAAGAAACATTCAAGATATGGAAGGAAAAGAAGAGGAAAGAGGAAGAATTGCATGCTAAACGACTTGCTGCACTCTCTACTGCACCTAAGGGCGTAGATCTGTTCAAATTCCAGCCTGATATATTTGAAGATGATGAAGCAGATGGTGATGATATCGACTACCATGCTCGAGAAGAAGTTGAATCAGATCAAGAAGAATAATTTAGACTCGAATAAATCTATGAAATTATTTTCCCTCCATAAGGCAACTTAAAAACGCCTCCAAATTGCCTTAGAAATGGGACAAATTTTTAGAGACATCACAAACATAACAGATTGCCAGATTAAGATAACAATACACAAGCAGAAGCACAAGGTTGCCCTCTATAAGTGGCTGTATGAAGTGTGCAATGACTTTGAATACAGTTCAACCACGTACCTGATAGCATTGTTCGTCATTGAAGAGTACACACATCGGTACAGCTATGAATTGAATGAGTACCAGTTGATTGGAGTAACATGCCTCTATATTGCGGCCAAATACGAGGAAACCACTACCAAATCAGTCAAACTGTACGAGTACGTAACAGATGGAGCATGTAAAATTAGTGAAATATTTGAGAAGGAAAAGGCGATATTGGAGTGCCTGAACTACGATTTGGACAAGTTGATAAGCAGTGCAATAATAAACTTCGATTTTGTGGTGCAAGTATTGGACAATGAGAGCATTGATGTGGATCAGGCAATCAGATTTGCTCTATTCAGCTGTATATTTGCTATGAATCTAACAAAGGAAACCAATGGAAAGGAGCTCATCCGCCTGGTTATGAAGACAGCAAAGCAGACGACTAGTGCCCTGTTAAACAGAAAGCTGTCCCAGGAGTCTCTGAAATTCATCCAGTCAAACAAGACGCTACACGATTATTTTGTAAAAGAGTAAGTTATGCAATTTACTGGTTTTCGAAGTTGGCCCAAGTCGCCTCAACTGAATCCTGAACTCTTCTGTTGTATTCTTCTCTATTTTGGTCGTATAATTCTGCTGCAAGCATGTTAGCTGGGGACTCTATGTTTGGGTCATTGAGGAGATTCTGTATGGATAACAGCAATGAGGACACATTGTACGATGGTGACCACTTGTTCTTCAAAATGTCCAGACAGATGTCTCCGTTCTCGTAGATGTTTGGATGGAACATTTTGGATATGAAACAAGCCTCTGGCGCGTGCTGTGGATACTCCTCGTCGAAAATCAGCAGAATCGAAAAGAATCCACCCTCGAAAACAGTCCCCTTTGGCCCAGATATCACTGCTACCCACGTAAACATGTCGCTGTCAAGTGGTTCTGCGAATATATTGTGTATTTGCTGTGCATTTGTCACGTCATCCAAGTCTTTGAAGAGCCTCCTAGCAGCTGGCGTTGACATGGATGCAAAAATTGCTGAAAATTTATTTCTTTACGAACTCAACTGGTGACTTTTTGTAGACCTTCTTGGTGAACTCACTTACAGAAATCTTCTTCTTGCTCTGCTTCAATCCATTCAACTCGTCTATCTTGGCATTTATCGCCTCTCTGAAACTACTGCCGTATTTTCCATTCTCCATCTTTTCCTCATCTATCTTCGCACACAGTGATATTTTATTGCCCAACATTCTGCTTATTTTACCCTGGTCTACTTTGGATCGTGCCAGATAGGACGTGTTGAAGATTGCACCGTATTTGGACTTATCCTTTTTGGATCCAAGCACCTGAATCGCAGGCCCAGTCATCTTGTGAAGAGTGCTGTTGGATATGCTGAACAATCTGCAAAGTGTCAGCAGATCGTTGTTTGTCTGTCCCATTAATTCGTACAAATTAGGATAGTCATTTTTGACTGTCTCATTCAGCAAGTCGTAGACGTCCTTTCTGTTCTGAATGTCCTTCAGGATGTTTTCTGTATCGAACACGATGTGTTCGATCTCTTCTGCTCCAAATGGTCTTCCCATGCTATTTTTAGCCAAATTTACCAATTCTGGTTCTCCCGTATTATTCTTCACAAATTCCTCCCTGTTTCTGATTTTGAGCAGACACATCAAGTACTCCGTGCAATCATCTGTCGTCAATTCTGGAAAGTGTAGTGCATACCACTCCTTGATACGCATAGTTCTCTTGTTGATGTCCTTGTCAAATGTTTCCACCAATTTATAGAGCTCTACAACATCTGGTCTTTTGGTTACCCCACTCATTTTATGTGCCAGTATCTGAGTCATATGCAACACTTCTTCCGTGGTCATTTCAAGTGCCTCTGCTATCTCAATGTCAGTTACTTTTGTATCAACGGCTTTGTCTGCAATTAGATGATCCATATCATTCAAATAGACTGGTTTGAATTTCGTAAAAATTTTGCACTTCTGAGATTTGATGAACTCTGATACGGATTCACTCATCTTTTGGTTCTTATACAGTTCATACGCCTCTTCTATGCTTTCAAATCTCTGTGCTCCTACGAACTTGTCGTTGTTTCTAAGCAGTATTCCAACACTTGTTTCAATCAGTATCGTTTTACCATTATTTGCCTCAGTCATTTCTGGGGTATAAAATCAATTCATTTTTCAGGTGCCATCACCTATGAGTTATTTACAGCCAATTAATTTTGTAACATGCATTTTTAGTGAAGATGTTTTAGAGGTCATGATCATCGCAATTCTATTAGCGACAGTGTATGCTGGAAATAGCTATTTGGAGCAGTCTCCAACCACCGGTGAAAGCAGTACAAACAAAAGCAAGTACTACTCCACAGGATACACGGTAGGGTACAACTATAGACCAACATCCTTTAGTTTTTCTTGGAGATCAGGACTTCTTGATGAAAATGGTGAAATTGAAGACGAAGGTGTGAATAAGAATGATGAGGATGCCCATCCTGATGGCTATATAAACGCAAACACCCCAGATCCAGGACAAAAATTCGATTTTACTCAAGAAAAGGGTGGTGAGGCAGTTTTCAGTGAACTGAAAAACGAAAACAGCAATTTGCTACATCGTTTTGACGATTAAAATCAATTGAAGAACTAAATCAGAATTATTTAAATGTGTTTGCGTATTCTTTGAATGTCTTTTGCTCTTCTGAGCTTCTAAATTGGAATATTTTGTCGAAATTTAGGTTTCGTTTGTATTTTTTGACTAATTTTCTGAAAAATTGTTTAAAGTCGTATGGAACAACAAAGACAAGCGATTCTATCGTATCATTATGGAGTACAACATTGTCAGATTGTAGTAGAATGTTAAACTTGCCATTATAAGAGCATTCTACGTCATCTGCAGTAAAAAAGAAGCCAGGATTTCCAACATAAATCATGGGATTCAAAATCTCAGTTTAATGTTGGCTTTGCACCATCTCCAAATACTCGTCTTCAGATGTTTTGTGCCTGATTTGTCGTTTTCGTCTTCTGGTATATATGAATGTGCATGAAGCTATTATAATACTGTACGTGATAATTGCTATCAGAATATTCACAACACAAATGTGATGCACACTACGTGTATCGTCATTGTAGTATTCTGTGTACATCGGTGGTCTATATCTACCAATATATTGATCATTCTTCTTCACTGATACTTTTTTCTTTCCTATGTAAACTCGACCTGATTTCTGTATTCGTATTATTGCAAGTGAAATCTCATCCAGAAGATTCTCGGCTTCTTTCTTATTCTTTTTAATGCCATCTTCATATTGAATCATAGTCAACAAGTTGTATAGAGCATATAGTTCATCAAGTAGCACTTCCCTGGTTAGAATACCCGGAATATGCTTTGTGATGTCATAGTCTTTGATTTCATTCAATATTCTAAGAATGTTACATTTCTGTCTATTATTATGTGCGGTGTCGTATTCACCTGTCAAATCAAATAAGAACGTTACAATGAACTTGCTTGGTTTCTTCTTTGTCTTTTCGTGGAAATCAATTTGCTGTAGCATTTTCTGAACAAAATAGTTCGTTTCATTTTCTGGATTCTCCACTTTCTCAATGAAACTGCTCAAATCAACGGTGTTCTCAAGAAACTCCAGTTTGGGCTCACATACCCCTTTGAACACCTTGGTGAACTTTATGTTGATTGGTGCCAGATTTATCGAATCCATCGTCGTTGGAATTGTATAGCAGTTGAAATACTCCTTGCGCATCTTTATTTGCGCAGGTTTGTTGTTTAATCCCAAAATGCAGTTGTTTCCTTTATCGTCTTTGTAATAGATCATTTTATCATTTTTGCTCAATATTTCAACTGTATTTCCATTGATATTTAGCTTACTTGTCTTATTTGACTTCAATGCATAGAATCCTGCTGGCAAATATTGAAGCGTTAGGTCAAACTTACTCAGATCATCCATATCCAAGTTGTTCAGTTCTATCTTGCCTATTTTATTAGCCTTTATGCTATCCGAATCCTCATTTACTTCCAAATTATATGGATGTCTACCGGAAATGACATCGTTTACATCACGTTTCATATACTTCAGTACAAATAGTGAATTTTTGTATTCTATACAACTATTCAATCGTGAATAGTCAATTGGATTCCCACTTGATACTTCTAGAAAGACACTGTAATTGTTTCTGTGAAGTGTATTTGCAAGGAATACCATGATTTTACTCTGCAAAAGGAAGATGTCCATTGGATAGGGGAAAAGGTACCGAATTTTATCCCTATGAAAACGTATAGGGTGAAATTGGAAGAGGAGCTAACACTTGGAATTGAGAACGTACGACCAGAATCCACTCTTTTCTACAACAGGAGCGGTGTCATACGGGAAAATAGTGCCAAAATAGTACCAACTGGTATAAATGAAATAACATCGGATGGAACAGGTGTAATATTTCATATTCTGGGCGCAAATCCAACAGAAGAGAACAAATACGTTTCAACCAAGGCAGATTGGATTGGATTTGACACTTCAGTGAACGTGGAGAAAACAAACACATTTCACCTGGAACACCACTACAAAAAGGATGACGAGTGTGCTAGAATGGTGGCATTACGATGCTACTGTGGAGCATTTGAGGAAGTGAAGACACTTGATGAAACTGTACGAGGAGACAAAGGGTACGGTTCAACAGGTTTCAAATAAATGGTATTTTAGGCCTCTATGAAAAATTTATTAACCGGTAGATACTTGAGAAGCATTGTTGATGAAATAAATACAGACACGTGTTACGGTCATCTTATGACTGTTTATTCAGCACTAATAAGAGAAATAGACGTAGAAGCAGAAGAGAAAGACGACTTCATCGAAGCATTGAATTTGGTCAATGCAAAATTGAGGGAATTCGTACCATTTGAATACCAATTTTACATCATAGACAGACCAATTTATAAGGGAAAGAAGGAGATGAAGAAAGGATTGTTCGAATTGTTTACAGATTGCATCATTCAAATGGTTCTAGAACACACAACTACAGAATTAACCAACGAATTGAATAAGGTACAAAACAAACAGAATAACACCAAAGAACAAGCTGGGATAAACAGCTACATTTGTAATGCGCTGTTTAGAATACGAAATGTTCCATTATCACCAAAAATGACAAAATACGTTGCATTTGCCCTGAACAAAGATGACATAAAGGAATTTCTAAGTTTCATCATCAAAATGGAACATAAGAGAAATACAGCCTTGGAAAGCAACGAAGAGTTTGCTGCATCTTTTCTTGACGCATTAAACAGCCTCTTTCTGGCCATCAAGAACATCAACAGTGATACGTATGCTGAAATTCTAAAAATAGTCCATAGTGAGAAGAAGTTTTTCAAAAGGGTCATCTTCAGCAATTTACCAGATGTCTACATGTCATACGTCTATTCAACAACACGAGACTACAACTTCGATGTACTGGTTTCATTGTACGATAGCAGACCGTATCTTGTAGAAGAGACAATTCTAAAGGTAAACCAAGGAGAATTATTGATTCCAAGAAAATCATTCATTGATAAGATAATGGAAAACGACAAATACTTTGCCAAGATGATCATCAAACTGGATTTAACAAAAGAGGAATTGGCAAATGTGACTGAAAACTCAAACTTATTCCTGGTTGAATATTTCACACAAAAGGCTGGTCCAATGGTTGATCTCTGTAAAGTATTAGCTAACAAGAGTGAGGAATTCATTATAGAATTTCTGGAGAACAATGTCAATAGCGATAATATGCCAAATTTAATCAGAAGCATAAGTTACGCAATTAAGCTTACATCAAACCTGAAAGAGTTCATTTTGAACAATTTTGGAGACAGAAAGGAGTATTTCAACGCACTCATTCCATTTCTCACAGTTGATGAAATAGAAGAGAGACTAGGAATGTGGTACGAGAAGAACAAGACCATTGAAGCACTGTTGAGGAAGTATCACTCAGGTGACTTACTAACTGTCTTACACAAAATGGTGTATTCTAGAAACATCAAGGCCGTAATTGAAGAAACACTTGAAAGTAACAAATTCACCGATAGTGACTTCATATTTCTGCTGAAGTTCCTGGAGACTACTGAATGTGATTTCAAATACAAAACATGCTTAGATTGCATGAATAAGCGTAAGAGTCTCCAAAAGCAATGCATTGTGTTTCTAGAACACTCTCCTGGCAGTATCACCAATAAAGAATACGTCAGCTGTCTTGAGGCAGCTGGCAACCTAAAGCTGTACGAAAATGTACCAATTCAAGAATTGTTTGACTTGGTCCAAGGTAACCCCAGAATGAAGAAGCAGCTTCAGAAGCTGTTGAATAAGTCAAAGAAGTCAACCAAAAAGCAGAATGAGATGAAGGCGTTTTTGAATCTATGATAGGTTTGTTTGTTTACATGCCCATGAGTGAAAAAGACGCATTTGCCTATCAAATTGACGAAGAGTTCATGCCACTTGAAGACCCACCTAAAAGAAACAAAACCAGCCTATTTCATAAAGTGTTGAACTGTGACTACACCAAGACTGAGCAAATTAAGATAGTCAAGTCTCTTTCTGTCATCTCCGGATGCATCCTCTGCGTCATCTGCGGACTGATACGCATCTCATTCTGCTGGCACACCAACCTATTTCCAAGTAGCCAAATCAACAATGCAAACGAATACCAGGAAATTGATCTACCAATTTCTGTTGGTGCCTTGCTCATCACCCCAGCTGTCTATCTCTATCTCGGCTCCATCAACACCATCTTCGTCTTTGGTTCTGGATGCATCTGCTTCTTCAGCCTGGCCCTGAAGCTTCTCAATCCAACTAAGCCATTTGCGATATTCTTCAGGGTGTTTCTTGGTGCTGGAATGGGCCTGCTCGACTACTTTCTGGTTCAGTACCTGGGTGAGACATTTGGGACTACTGGAAGTGCCACCTACAACATGACGCAGATGTTCAAGTCAGTTGGCGTCTCCCTCGGTGCCATGCTCTACTACTTCACAGGCCGCAACTTCTACGAAGTCATCTTCGTTCTTTCCTTTGCAATTATGCTACTATTTAAGGTTGGTTGCATCAAGGTGTATGCAACTCCACCAGATGCGTCTGCTGAGTACCGAAAGAGGATCCTCGCCCTCATGTCCCTCTTTGGAGTCTTCTTCGTGCTCCAGGGCCTCTTTGGACAGAACATGCTTCTTGGATTCGACTCTCTCATTTCCCCTAGGGAGTTTGTCCTGTTTAACCTTATTTTCGGCACCATTTCCATTTTGTACTACGGATTCAAAATCAGGCACACCAACCTTGGATTCAAAGTATGGGCAATTTATTTCATTGGTGTCGTAACCTGCGTTCTCAGCCACTGCCTGCTTTCTGCTGACTTCTACCCCAAACTGGCACTCTTCTGCCTCTTTCTGACGTACAACATGTTTGTTGAGTCACTTCCTGAGCTTGGTCTCGGCGGCCTGCTTCAGGACGATGCAAGACGCCTCAGGTGGCTTCTCTCGAAGACACTTGTTCTGGTCACAGACGTAGCTGCCAAGTTGTATGGGATGATCTCAAAGAAGGAGGAGTTGAACAACCTGATCCACTTTCTTGTTGTGACTGTGATTCTGCTGAATGGGATATTTCAAGTTGTTTTCAGGGAGACCAGGTCCAACTGATACCGTAGATGCGATTATGTCATCAATCCACCATATTCAGTACAACACCCATTTTGGTTGTCATAAAACGTATTACCACGGTATATCAAAAATATCAATAAAAACAATACCCTATTTAATATGACAGCCAATAATAAACAGGAAATGGCACGCAAGAGGAACATGCAGGCACTGCTTGGGATGTTGAAGATCATGACGATAGAGGACGACTATGGCGTGAACAGACCCAGGGTACAGAAGAGCGAGTTTCAGAAGGGTGTTCTGAAGGCTGTTTTCGGAGTGACCAAATTTCCATCGAAGCAAACACGAGAAGACCTGGCACTGCTGCTGAATCAAACAGCACGTAGCATCCAAATCTGGTTTCAAAACCAAAGAAACAAGAACGTAAAAAAGTATCTGCAACGGACTAAGAATGATACGAAGGTGACAGTTGAGTCCAATACGCTAACTAACATTATTGAGAAGGAGTTGTCATCATCAACCAGAAAGCAGTGGGACGAATTCATCAACTTTGACCTAAATAGGAGAGAACCCTGACAAATGGCATTTTCAGTCTTCTTTTGTTTTCGCACTGATTGTTTCCAGCATCCCCTCGTTCATCAACTCACATTCCACAATGAACTTGCTGTTGTTGAATAGAATTCCACCAGTGTCATCAATCGCATCAACTGATTTGATTCTGTTCACAAACTGCTTCACCAACCAATTGATGCTCATTGTGGCTGGGTTTCCATTCAGGTTGAAATTGTGGTTGAGTAGAAACACAATCAGCTGTGACAAGTAGACCAGATTGTCAGCCACCCTATCAAGAATGCCACTCAAATAGCCATTCAATTTGGAGTCATTCAGAAGAGAGCACTTTGTGATTTGGTAGGCCATTCTACTCAAATCAGTTGAACTATTCTTCAGTGCCATCAGGTACTTCATGGTGTTTGAGGCAGTTGCCAATTCATTGGAGAATACTTCATTGAAGAAGACTGTGCTCATTTCATCCTCTGATACCTCAACTGTGCTACTGAATATGTCGTATTTCTGGATGATGATATCGTGATATTTTGAACAGGAAGACAGGAAGGCATTGAACAGTTTGAGACTGTTTTCTCGGTCATCTGTTTTCTGGGCTACGTCAAGCAGCTGCCTGTAGAAGAGCACCGTTGTCTCATTCGTCTTTCTGGCTCCAGTTGCGGTCTCACTGCTGAATTGGGTGGTGGAATCATTCAGTACGAAATAGCGGTACAGGAATTCAATCTGCTCATTCTCAAGCAGGTGAATCAGTTTGTGTGGGTTTCTGTTGATGAATTTGAACTTGGTTTCCTTATCGAGAATTGTGAAGTTCTCAAGCAGATCGATGTTGTTCAGGACCAGGGTGTTTGAGAGTGTTCTGACCAGGAGATTGTCGCTCTTTGAGAGGAGCTGGGTGTTTTGTTCTAGGACAGCGGTGCTGGTGAATTTGGTGTCGCATATTTCACTGTACAGGGCACTGTACTGGCTCAGGACGTTGATTTTGTGTCTGGTTGAAAACATCGACCTGAATACGCCCTGTGGCTTTGGCTTCTCTATTTTTGAGAGGTGATCAGCAAATGAGTCAGCCTGGTCGACTGTGAGTGTTCTGATTTCCATGAGACAGCAGTATCCCCGTATCACATTTGGAAGCTGATCTGGATCAGATTCGATGGACTTCAGAAACTGCTCAAACTGGTCAAGTTTGCTGAATATTTTGCACAGCCTGAAATAGTCAACGATGGTCATTTTGGTAGCCAGGTCTGGGCTATTCAGAAACACGTATTTGTATATTGCAAGAATGCCATTTGTATCAGACAATTCCAGTGATTTGTGTGATTCTGAATACGCCTTATAGACGAGATATTTGTCGTATCCATCAGTCCAATGGTGTGGAAATTGGATTTCTTTTGTTGTGATATCATCGTAGAACTTACGCATCTCATCCTGTGTGAATATCTCAGTCTCCAACTTCTCGTAGTACTCCCTAAATGGCATCTTTCTATCACCATGGATTTTATAGAGCATCGTATTCAGAAACACGAATGAGTATGTCACCTTGAAGTACTCTGTTACAATGAGTTCATCCACTGATCCATTTTCAGGGAGCTTCTCTCTCACAATGGCCCTGATTTGCTCGTCTTCAATCATTCCATTTTGTTGGCAATAGACCTCAGCAAATACACGAAGCACTCTGTCAATGACTTGGCTCTCTCCTGGCATCTGAAATGTCGATAGAAACCATCTCAATGCGTCCAGTAGAAACATCTTCTTGAAACAGAGCATCCTTGTCCACTCTCGTAGCAATTCAACATTCTTCTCCTTGCACAATATTTCACCAAGTGCCTTGAGTGAGACCAAATCACATAAAAACATGCTGCTTAGATCCACGTTGTTGTAGACTCCTCTATTGACATTCTCAATCTCCTTCTTGAATGCCTCCTTCTTCTCAACCATTTCAATAATTCGCTCATACTTCAATTCTATTTCATTCTCATCAATATGATCAAAATCACATCCTGTTACATCAAATTCATTGCACAATTCGTCGTACAGGTTGTTGACTTGAAGCAGTCTCCTGATGGACTTGTTCTTTCTGAATATCATCAGGTCGTACTTGCAGAATGTCTCAGACAGACTGATTCTGTTGGCCCAGTCTGCGATCCAGTCTCCTCCTTGAAGCGTGTAAATCAGCTGCCTGTATTCTGGACAGTCGTAGCCGATCATGACAATTTGGTCTCCAAGTTTGTCGCAAAAATCAACCAGAAACTCCTTCAGAAATGCAAACCGCCTGTAATTCTTGTAGGCGATGAATGCGTCGAAGAACTCCTCCCTCAGAAAGACCTTGAAGAGGTTGTAGACTGCGATGTCCCTGGTCACGTCTGCCTCGAAGACGTAGATGAACTTGAGAAACAGGTCGATCTTCTGCTTCTGATTCAGATGGGTTGCAAATTCACCAGTGTCGTAGAAGTACTTGATGCATAGAGTGAAATAGGCAACAAGCACCTGTGACGTGTACTTGTCGGCAGAATGGGCCTTCATGCCCAGTAGATCGCCTAGACATATGCTGACTGGATGCCTGTTCATGATGTTGAGGAAGTAGAGGGCCTCTTTGTTTGTCAGACGCATTTTCAGTATTTTGTTGTATGCGTCGACGGTGCTGCATTCGTCGACGAGACTGCTGAACAGACGCAGCTCCCTGGAGCTGCTTGGACAGAGCTTCAGCATCTCCCTCACTGTCTCCTCCCTGAGACCTGTCTGCAACTGTGACATTTATGGGCTCAGTCTCAAGGTGTTTCTGCATTAATTCATGTAACTTCTCTTTTATGTAAAATAAGCTTAATTTGTTTGTTTGTCTCTCAACCATATTCTGTTTTTAATAGACCTAACTAACTGTTTCAAAATATCGCTATCATTTTAATCACTAAATCAGTATCACTAATATCCCATAGGCTATCTGTGACCTCATGCTCCTGTTTCAGTAATTTCAATTTCATTCTCCCTCTTAATAATTTTTCTCTTCACCCCCATGCTTACTCAGGAAACTGACGAAACACCTGCCATTATCATTGACAACGGGTCTGGGATGGTCAAGGCTGGATTCTCTGGCGACGATGCGCCTCGATGCGTCTTTCCGTCGATCATCGGCGTGCCAAAGCACCAGGGCGTCATGATTGGAATGGGACAGAAGGACAGCTACGTTGGAGACGAGGCACAGTCGAAGAGGGGGATCCTGCAACTGAAGTACCCGATCCGCCACGGGGTAGTGACGAACTGGGAGGACATGACGAAGATCTGGCACCACACGTTCTACAACGAGCTGAGGGTGGACCCGTCTGAGCAGTCGGTGCTGTGCACTGAGGCGCCCCTGAATCCAAAGGTGAACAGGGAGAAGATGTGTCAAATCATGTTTGAGACGTACAACGTGAGGAGGTGGTACATGCAGATCCAGGCGGTGCTCTCTCTCTACGCGTCAGGAAGGACGTCTGGGCTCGTCCTCGACAGCGGAGACGGCGTCTCCCACGTCGTCCCAATCTACGAGGGCTACTCTCTTCCGCATGCCATCATGCGCCTGAATTTGGCTGGCCGCGACATCACGCACTTCCTGGCGAAGATTCTGACTGAAACTGGGATTTCGATGAACACGACGGCTGAGATTGAGATCGTCAGGTGCATCAAAGAGAAGCTCTGCTACGTCTCGATGGACTACGAGGCGGAATGCACCAGCAACAAGGCGGAGGTCGAGTACACGCTGCCAGACGAGTCGGTCGTGAAGATCGGGTCGCAGCGATTCCGTGCCCCTGAAATCATCTTCAACCCAAAGATGAATGGGCTCGAGGCCCAGGGGATCCACGAGGCCATCTACGCGTCGATCCAGAAGTGCGACATCGACATCAGAAAGGACCTCTTTGGGTCGATTGTTCTCAGTGGCGGAACCACCTGCTACAAGAACATGGCAGACCGAATCAAAAAGGAGGTGTCGAAGTTGGCTTCACCAGCAATCACCGTCAGAGTCATCTCGCCTGCTGAGAAGAAGTACAGCGTATGGATCGGTGGATCGATTCTGTCGTCGTTGAGCACGTTCCAGACACTTTGGGTCACAAAGGAGGACTACGATGAGCTCGGTGCTGAGATCGTACACAGAAGGTGCTTTTAATTCACTAAATCGAAATGGATGCCTACTTCTGTAAGTTGTTCTTACTATTATTTTGACTATTATTTTGACTACCATTTTAACTACTATTCTTATTACTACTATTCTTACTACTATTTTAACTACTACTACTTCTTACTACCCTTACTTATAATTACTCTAACTACTCCAAGTTGCCTAGGTCGTCCTGGTTGAAGTCTACTTCTTCCCCCTCTTTGAAGGATGGCATCCCCTTGTACGGGCAGCCAGAGCACCTGAATGCGTCTCCCAGGTAGCAGCTGCCACAGGCTGACTTCTTCGGAGCAGTCTCGCTCTTCCTGCTACAAGTGCAATTTGCACACTTTCTACTCTTTTTGACTCGTCTCTTATTTGGTGCATCAATGGCATCTATTTCATCAATCTGTCTCTCTCGTGGGTCATTCTGCTTCGATGCTGCCATTTTGAGCAGTTTCTCCAATTCATCATCCGTGACTTTACTATTCTTCATTGTGGTGTGATATTTGCCCAATAAAAATGGCAGAAATAAATTGGCCAATTCCACCAGTCAACTTCGACAACTACGACGAGGACGGCTTCATACCAGAGAAGATGACACTGTTCAACGTGGGATACGTCTACAGGGAGGGCAGGATGGAGCAGGAGATGGAGTACGAGGAAGTGGACAGGAACAGGAACAGGGTGAGGAAGATGGTGGACGAGTCATTCAGGGCATTTGGGGAGTTATTGACTGGATTTGATCCACTGAAACTGGATAGGATCGTACAGATTCACACGGAGATTAATGAGGTGTTGAACAAGGGAAAGAAGTACGAGAAGGAGGAGTGTATTGCAAAGGCACGGAGGAAGCAGAGGGAATTCATTGAGAAAATAAGCAGCAGAATAAATGAACTACTTTATGCGTATTAATTCACAAACAAATAACCCCATTGCATGAATTACGAAGATTTGAAGAAAGAGGCATTCAAGTACTTCGTGTCTGATGAAGACGTCTTCGTATACAGGAGTGATACTGCATTTCTACCACCAGAATACACGAAAGAGGAGACAGGAAGCAGAGTAGAGTTCAAAATAGACAGGATTGAGAGTGTGGTAAAATATGTGCTACAGAACAAGAATACCAGGGTAGAGGAGTATGTGGCATGTGGGGATGTTGATAGGGGCGTATGTGTCCAGAACATTCAGTTCAAGTTGAACAGAATTGGTCATAGCAGAAACTATGGGGACTTCTCAGATTTAGACGTAAACAGCCCTACAATTTGTTCAGTTGAGAAATTCAACAAAGGCACCTACAAAAAATTCAGGCACAAAACGGACAAAATGCCAGAATACTCCCACGTCTTCGCCTATGCCAGAAACAACAAGCTGTTTTACACGTTCTACCTGGACGACGACCTCTTTTCAACCACATTCAGTCTGGTGCAAATGTACAACTGTGTGGAGGTGCTCTTTACGGATGGCTCGTTTCAACGCATCTTCGATGGCTGGGGAGTCAGCAGCAACAGGGTGACTCAAAGTGATCTGCTGATTGAGACCTATTTCACCACCACTTTCCAAAAGGAGTTCTTTGAACTGGGTGATTTCTGTCTGGTCAACATCAACGACTTTGATTTGGTTGATTTTCATACTCAGACAGCTCAGGGGAAGAGGCTGTTGAATCAGTGGCTTAGGAGTCCACTTCTCAGCAAGAACGAAATCAACAAGCGCCTTGATCTCGTTGAACACTTCAAGGAAGTCGATATCAACCTGTCAAAATTCTTTGATCTCAAGAGACTCGTAGCCAAAATAGAAAATAGGACAATTTCAGTTGATGAAATAGTCAACCTGTACGAATCAATCACCGTGATACCGCTACTAATTGATAAAATTGGAATTGGAAGAAATCAGACAGTTCAAGAAGACCTGATTGATCCACTCAGGGAGTGTCACCAGGCATTGAAACCAGTTCAGACTGAAATTGAGTCACAAATTGATGTGAACAGTGGTGAGATGTTTGTTGATCAGAATGAGACATCCAAATCACTGAAATCAGCAAAGGTGGAAATTGAAGGCGAAATGGAGAAGGAATTGGCAGAAATCAGGCAGAGTTTCCCAGGGGCCAAAATGCAAAATGGCGTATTCAAAGTGACCAAGAAGGAGTTTGGCCACACCACGAAATACAAAACAATTTCAGTCACAAAAACAGGCGTGACTTTTACTACCAAAATGCTCACTGAATTATCAAACAGACTCGAAGAGACAAATAGAAGAATTCTGGCTGAAACCAGGATACAGCTGGATGCATTGAGGTCGTTCTTGTGCACCGTCTCGCAGTCTCTTGAAATCTACAACTTTGTTGTTGCCCTAGTGGACATTTTTAAGGCATTTTCAATCAAATGCATAACACCAGGGTATTCGAGACCATCATTCTCAGGTGGCACTGAATACGCAATCAGAGGGATGTGGCACCCTGCTATCAAGAACGAGGCAGTCAAAAACGACCTGGAATTCAGCAAAAACATGTGTGTACTAACTGGGCCAAATATGGGCGGAAAGAGCACCTTCATCAAGACACTTTCACTTGTGTCCCTGTATGCGCAAATTGGCTGCTATGTCCCTGCATCCGCTGCAACTCTCCCCATTTTCGAGCGCATTGTGATGCGAATTGGTGCCAGAGACGTCTCAAGCCAGCACATGTCCACTTTCATGGTGGAAATGGCCGATTTGAACCTGATTTGCCGAAACAGGAAGTTTGCCCTGGTTCTGATTGACGAGCTTGGCCGTGGCACCAGCGCATCAGACGGCCTAAGCATCATCCTGGGCGTGAAGGAGTTCCTTGAGAGAACCAGAAACTTCACCGTGATCACCACGCACTTCAGCGAGCTGAGCCAGGCCTCGTCTCAGTCCCTGATCAAGCGAATGGCCGTGAAAGACGGGCTGTTCACCTACAAAGTCGAAGAAGGTGCTGCTGACGACTCATTTGGAATAAAAGTGGCAGAAATGGCCCAGTTTCCCAGGGACGTGATCGAGGATGCCCTACGATTCCTCTGATACGGATACTGGTGCAATATCAGTCACTCTTTATTCTTGATATGATGTCAACCAGGACGTAAATTGGGATTTCGTCTGGCTCCTGATCGTACTGCTTGCTGGCTTCCAGCGAGTTGCGCCTGGTTGCCTGCCGCGTATTCTGAAACCAGACCTGAATTGATCGCTGTGGAATATCGATCAGAAGACTCAAATCATTTCTGGTTGTGGTTGATGGAAATTGGGTGATTTTGTACAGCTCCCTGTGGTATCGATCAATCGTGTGATCTGAATTGATTTGCGACTCACTCATGGGCAAATATTAAAAAGGAAATTAATATTTGTTTATTTGGCGAGACAGATAACACAAGTTTGAGAGCAGTACATATTGTTGAATGTTTGGAGATTTGAATGGAATTGGGACTGGCCTGGTGGCTGATGCCGTAGCTGATGGCTGTTTGACGAATCAGCCATCACCATAGAATGTAATATTTGTTTGTTTGATAAAAAACAAAATGGTTTATTTAACGCAGTTTCAAACAAATGGGCCAGAAGGAGAGAGGTGGACTGAGGACGAGAGACAGGGGCGGAATCAGGGGGTGTGGATGAAGAGCGGATGGAGACAGGGCAACTGGATGTGAGAGAAGGAGAGTGAAGAGGCTGAATTGCCAGTTTCAGCCAAATAAGCTTATTTCAACCAATTAAGCTTATTTCAACCAATTAAGCTTAATGCACCCGAACAGGTGAGACGTCAAATTGTTTGATTGTAAACAAAGAAGGAATCTGATGCAAACATTCGGCGATTTCCAAATCAGGCAAATGGACCCCTCATCGCCTGGTTGCGGCCAACTCTGGCGAATTGGCCTTGCTGCTGATGAGACCAGCCCATTTGTTTGTTTGTTTATCATTTGTTTATAAAAATGTGTTTGTTTGGAACACATGTTTAAGCCATCGGACCAAAACAAGGCGGGGGGCGACTACGATCAGGGCTGTGGGTACGCGCAGCAGAACGAGGCGTGTGGGACGCCAAGGAGGCCCAACCTGTCCTACGCTGAGCTGATCACAATGGCGATCGAGAGCAGCGCGGAGCAGATGCTGACGCTGAAGGACATCTACAACTGGATATCGTGCAACTACCCATATTACGAGGCAAAGAAGGACGGCTGGCAGAACTCGATCCGCCACAACCTGAGCCTGAACCGCTGCTTCTACAGGGTGCCCAGGAAGGAGGGATCCCGTGGGAAGGGCAGCTACTGGAAAATAAACTACGAGTACCAGAACGTGAAGGTGAACTATCGCACCAGGAAGTACACGTACGTCCCACCGCAGCAGTCGATCCACTCCCTGACGCAGATACTGAACGACAACACGCTTCTGAGCGAGTCGATTGGGATGAGCGAGATACCACCGAAGAAGGGGACGATATTCAGCGGAAACCTGCGCGACGAGGACTACGAGGCTGGGCAGCCCGACGCGTACGACTACGACGACCACAGCAAGTTGGACAGGATATTTTCATTTAAGTAATCAAGTTCAGCCACACAAACATAGACAGTTTATTAAATAGATGACGAGTTATAAATGGATCAAGTGATATTGATCAATACTGTTAAGCTTAACTGATATTGATCAGTTGTATAGCATTGTTTTGGGGCTGTTTCACAAGGGTGGAAAAGGCCGCTTTCTGTTTCATCATGATATCTCTGCTTATTCTTCCTGCCAGATGCACTGGTTGCGTTATACCAACAGGTGGAATGGCTGGAGCCAACAACTGCAGCCCACTTGGAATGGGTCATTCGCAATACGGGCCAGGCAAAGACTGTTTGGGTGGATCAGGTGGAGCAATTCCAGCTCACTGCATTCCTGGAAACAGCCCAATGGGTGGATTAGGAAGTGATGCATTACACAGTATATTGAATCATATGCCAGGAACAGGAAATAGTGGAATAGGAAGTAATGGAATAGGTGGAATAGGAAATAGTGGAAATATGGGTGGAATGAGCGGAATGAGTGCTGATGGTGGCCTAGGATCAAATCAGTGGATGGGATCAAAATCAACTGACATTTACAGTCTCCCAGACCCACAGAAGCTGGTAGCAGCAGTGGAGCAGGCAACTGCCAACTTCCTGAACATCAAGAACAATCTCAGGCGTGTTCTGGAACGAACCAAAATGTATCTGTCTCGATCAGCGGTGCTTCTGACAGAGCTGACTTCTGACATCAAGGTGAAATACGCCGAGCTGAAGGAAACCACAAAGAAGCACAACAGGGAATCAGCCCCACACATCAAGGCAGTTCTGGCCAAGAAGATGATCGACCTACGATCAGAGCTCAGGGAGCTGATTGGGATGTTTGAGAAGATCAGGAAGTGGCAGATGACTGTGACGTGTTCAATAGCAACCACCCTGTGATAGACAGGTGCTGTCTTCACAATAAATAAATAACCAGTAATATCGAAAATGACTACTTTTACTAGTACGTGACTACCCATTATAATTACTACTCATTCTCATTATAGTACAATTTAACCCACCCAATGGCAGTAGCAAAATTCAAATCAAAATACGCTGAAAATGTGATGGACCACTTCAACAACCCAAGGAATGTGGGATCATTCGAGATGAACGAGAGCGTTGGAACTGGCGTTGTGGGAGCACCAGCCTGTGGAGACGTGCTCAAGTTGCAGATCCGTGTGGGCAGAGATGGCGTAATAGAAGATGCAAAATTTAAGACATTTGGGTGTGGATCAGCAATCGCAAGCTCGTCACTCGCGTCCGAATGGGTCAAGGGAAAGACACTCGACGAGTCACTGGCAATCACAAACCAGGAAATTGCACGGGAGCTCTCGCTCCCGCCTATCAAACTTCATTGCAGCATGTTGGCAGAAGACGCAATCAAGGCAGCCGTATCAGACTACAAAATGAAGAAGAAATGAGTCCTCTATTTACAATTTATCACAGCTCTTCTTCCACATTCTGCTTCCCCTTCTTCATGATCACGTAGATTGCACCACCGACAACTACGAGGCCAAGGACGCCCATTGTGATCAGGAACGGAAGTGACCTGTAGAACGGGACACTCAGCTCCGTGTAGTAGACGAAGCCCTCCTTTGACGAGTCCCATGCAAATGGCTCCGTGAAGATAGGCGCCTTTGAGTCTGCCACCGTGATTTGAAATGAGTAGGCCGTACCGTCCTTCTTCACCTTATTTGCCCCAGTCACAATCTCAAGCTTGTATTTTCCAGCCTTAGGCGTGCTATTGTCCATTCTTTCGATGTCACCCTCGTGAACAGGCTTCGCATTGTTCTCGCCCTTGTCGGAGTTCTTGTAAATGAAGTAGCCCTGGGCTGCCACGTCTGGCTGCAGTGTAACAAGGCAGTAGTAGTCATTTGGGTTGTTCTCAAAGACCAGGATCTGGTCTACGCAGGCAATGAGTCCCACAAATATTGTTGGTAGCAGCATATGGATTATTATTGATACAAATAAATTGGTATTTGTTTGATCAGGTCACAAGAATGTTGTAGGAGACTGGGTGAGGATCAGTGTGAGTTTGACTCAGTGGTCTTGGATTGTTTGTTTATTATGAATACTGTGTTTATTTACGGTGTAAATAATTCAGAAGAAGAGAGGATCTTGAATAGGGGAAAAAAGAGCCCTGAATGGGAAACGTGAAAAGCACGCCCAGCAAGTATCTGTACATCGTGAAGCAGACGAACCCAAATCTGCCTCTTTGTCCCGTAATCCACCTCATCAAGGACGTCGCCATGGATGGGAAGCCTATGGGAGTAGACAAGATTGGAATGTACAAGGAGCATGCTGTGGTTGCAGAGGTGCTTGATTTGCTCACAATGGAGACATTCTACGTGGAATTGGGGACTGATAGTCTGGTTGAGAGTGACTTATTGGGAATAAATGTGGCAGAGACAAGTGAGCTACCAGAAATAACACATGTGAAAATATTGAGTACAAGTAATCCACTATTTAGGGAGAATGACATGATATTGGGAGTAGAAGACGTGCATTCAGATGATTTGGTAGAAGAAATAACATCAGAAGAGAGTAAGACACTGTTGGTCTTAAGAAACCATAAAATATTACGCATAGAGACAGATGGAAGCAAATTGCACTGTGAAATAGGCGTAGGACTGTTGTACAGGCCAATTATAGGTAAAGAGATCTACAATGAGGAATATAATGGAAAGGTTAAACGAAAATATCGGAATTCGATTAATGAGACAGAAAACAGGAATGTGACAAGTCAGGTAGAAAGGAAGGAAGAAGAAAATAAGGTTGCTCAGGTGAAAGAAAAGAAGTTAGGGCGGTCAAATATCAAGTATGACGACAGATTTGATGAAATAGTGAAAAAGGAAGAAGAATATGTTCAGGGAGTGAAGAAGGAGGAAGAGACAGTTGCAAAGTTAGTGAATGACGAGTTTATTTGTAGGAGAGATTATGCTGAAGAAGGAGTACTGACAGATGAAGCATTTGCAAGGAGGAAACAGAAACAGGAGAAAGTAGAGCCTGAAGATGGGGAACAGGAGCCAACAGTAGGGAATCAGAGGGTATTTGGAGACCTGAATAACCAGAGCAGCAGTGACATTTTTGAAAATACGAAAAAGGAAGAGAAGGATTGCATACACTTCTCAGACTGCGATTGTGAAGAAAGGAAGAAGAAGAATTCGGCTGATCCATCCAACTTCCTATCAGAAAGTGACGAAGGTGGATACTTTAAATAGTAAATTATGTGTTGATGTATTGGCTATGAAATATTGCAAACCTAACAAAATAGTCCCAAGATGGGAGTGGAAATATTTGAGAGAATTGGATGGCATGGAAACAGCTATGTGGTATTTAGCAGGGATGTTCTATACTTTATTGTGATCAACAACGTATTCCACGCAGGATACGGTAACAGAATAGATTTGAGTAACATGGTCTGTAAGCTGTTTGATTACAGCTGGGATGTGGAAAGAGGTGTGAAAGTGATACTCTATGATTCAATAGAGAACAAAATGCTGAGTTTCAGATACAGAATAACCTACTTGGATTTTAGTTCCCAATTTTTATGTATTTTCACAGGTGGAGTCATTTTGGCTCTGGTCTGCAAACGAATAAACAGAATTGTTGCAGGGAATAAACCACAAATCTCCTGAAACTTGCAATAAAATTGTGAATACAAACAAATTAGCTATTTTGTTTGTTTTTAAGCTTATTTTGCTTAAATATTCCTGATTTTATGGATTATGCATATTCTACAGTACTGTTTGCGCCTTGGCCTGATATCTGGATCCGAGAACACAAGCACCAGCACGCCTGACAACGGCAACAACTCGACGAACAACGGCAATGGCAACGGAGCCCCTGCCCTCTTCCTAGGCGCATTGTCTGCCCCTGTCATCCTCGACTTCCTGGTCTAGTAAAACACACTCATGCATACATTTATTCATCACATGTTTGCCAGTATTCCGAGTCCTAGCACCATCACGCCGAATACCCCTGCTGTGCCATTTCCTGACGTGTTCTTGGAGTCCTCCTCGTCTCCGTCTCCGTCTCCTGACTTTGTGCTCGTCTTTGACTTCGTACTTGTACTTGTGGTCGTCTTTGCCTTGATCAATCCCATCACCATCACTATTGCACTAATACCAAACTGCATTGGGGTCTCTTCTATGTTTGCTTATATACCACATTCTTGATATATTGCATCGAATCAGTTTGATTCCAATCAGGTCAGTCTCCCTCATCCCATTACACCCTGATTCAGATGGGTCTCCTACTCCTTCTCTACCATAAATCAGAACAATAATAAACACACCCTTTGATTGATCAAATTGACAATATTTCTGTCTCAACTCTTTCTTGCTCCAATTTGCTTATTTATAAACACACACTTATATTTATTTACAAACATCCTCACATCATGCTACTTGAGATATTCCTTACATCAATACTTGGTGTACAAATCCCAGCCAACCCATTCATACAGAGACACATGAATGATGGCAACCAAGGCATGAGGATGCCAGCAAAGAAGTACGACGAGCCAGTGCCACAGAGAAGACCATTTGAAAGCAAGGCGTCTCCCTTAAAGGAGAAGCCAGCTCCAATTCGGAAGGCAGTCAGGGACGTATCATCAGAAAAAGAGACCAAAAAGGGCAGGAAATACACCCCAGAGGAGGAACGGGCATTTATAGAGTCATCGAACAATGAGAGCATGACACTTGCTGATAAAATGGCCTATGTCTTTGGGATATTGGCCATAATACTCGTCTGCTTCTTTGGTCTATCATTCCTATGCTACTGCTGCTGTGGATCGAGTAAGGCACAGATGTAAAGTATGATTGAAATATTGTTATGTTCTGATTTAGTTTAGTTTAGTTGATTTGCTATTGTTGTGATGTATTGGATTGGCATTTTGGTGGTAGTGAGAGTATTGAATTGGATTGGGGTGGTATTGGCCAATGATTCAGGTGAAGAGGTCAACCTGAATCACCCGTACAAGAGCACAAGTAACCAGGAAAATAGCGTATTGGCGGATAGAAAGAGTAAGATTGATTTTGAGTTGAAGGATCAGATAGTTGTCTTCTTTCTTTTTATAGTGATAATACTTGTACTAGTAGTGGGAATACACGAGTATTTCATATCAGTGCATTGAGACTACCACGTCTCAGATTGAATTGGAACACTCTTTTTGAATAATTTCAGTAGCACTTTTCTGACTTCCTTATTCAGTCTAGTGTTTCCACTCACAAATATCAGCCATTCATCAATATTGGAAATCATTTCAGGAGATTGGGTGATATCATTGTAGAACTTGTCTTGAACGTATAAGTTGTCATCACGAGATGCAACACAGGTGATTCTGTGATGATTGGAACTGATTGATGACAACTTGAAGAGACAGTCTTGGTTGTGGTGTCTGTGACCGTAGTAAACCAGGATTTCCTTATTGGGGAAGAACTCAGCAGCAGATCTGGGAAGAGTGAAGCCTGTTCCGGTGCAGAAGAAGAGCAGTTTCTGGTTATCAAAGAAGAGGCGTGACTTGGTGGTGGTGATTTGGAGCAGATTGGTTGATTTCAACTCTTTCATGTATTGGGTGGCTAGGCCGAGTTTATCAACTGGGAAATTGTAGAGAATTGAGAAGTAGCCACTTGACAGTTTCGAGACTGAAAAGTATCTGGGGCTGATTTGGTTGATGTGTTGGGTGATTTCAGGCGTATTGGTTATTTGGGTGATTCTTAGATCATCAAGGATATCAAAGAGGTTCTTCCTGTTTTCAATCACGTAATCAAGGTACAGATCATAGTCAGCTGCAATTTCAGCAATCTTATCCTGGTATATTTTATCACCATCAGAAATCAGACTGTTGAATAGTTTCCAATGTGGCATGGAATAGAGATCAAAGTGATCGTAAAAGTGGTCTACGTCTTTGGATAGGACGTATTTGAAGAGTGTTTCCTTGCTGATTGTGTTTTTTGGAAGAATTCCAATACAATCTCCTGGTTTGAATGTCGTATATTCAGGTATTTCAAGTAGTAACTCGTATGCGACATAGTTTTTGCCTGTTTCAGTGTATTCATAGAGCAGATTGTTGGATATTACGGTGGCCTGGAAGTTGTTTTTATCTGGTTTCTCATCTTTGTACTTTGGTAGGGTGATTTCCACTCTTTCTACAAATTGATTTCTGTGTTTTTCAATAAAGTTGTTGAATCCATCGTAAAATCCGTGTTCATCCATTTGATCAGCGCAATGGACGCTATCACAGTTCATTTTGCAACCCAATGACACCAGTAATTTGGACAAGTCCATTCCAAATTTACAGAAATGCCTGTACGATGAATCACCTAATGCAAGGCAGCAGAAGGTGAAATCAAATGGCTTCTTTTTCGTGATTTCTGCTAGTCCTGAAAGATGGTCATAGAATGAGGTTCCATTGAATGGTGGATCTCCTTCACCGTGCGTAGATACGATGAATACTATAAATGGATATTTGTTGAGTTGGAGCAGATCAAACTGGTCTAATTCTGATACAAAGACGTTGGAGTATTTTGTAAGCATATTTCTGGCTAAATACTCCGAGTTACCTGTCTGAGAGGCATACAGCACTGGAATCATTGTTCGTTTTACGTCAGAATCTGTCATGTTGGGGTGATTTGTTACTCATTTTGCTTATAAGATCAGTGAAATGTGACATGTTCTGTTTCTCTTGTGCATAAAATAGTTTCTCTTTATAAGCATTTTAAGCTTAAATAGACTTAACCCATTATGGTCTAACAACAATTAGAAAATGCATATGAGTTACCTAAACATGTTAAAGTAGTAGATATACATGATATACGCGTGGAAACATCATAACATGCATCCAATCTGCTTTATACAAACAAATTACTAATTTTGTTTGTTTCCCGCCATAAAAATTGTTGAAATCAAGACCCATCATGGATCACCACAACAATACACAGAGCGAAGCAACCAGCTTCAGCATGGCATTCAACCCAATGAACAACATGAAATCGGTGAAGGAATACGATGCTGAGATAAAACAACTCAAGGAGGAGGTGTTCGACCTTAAGACTCAATTAGCCCAAAACAACAATGTTAATGCAACCAATATTCCAAAGATGCTCTATGAAAACAGTAACGTGGTTGAAGAACTAAATAAGAAGACATTCAGACTGGAAAATGAGAATAAGCAGCTTAGAGAGAACATGGAAATCTACAAAAACAACCTTGGAATTCTCTGCAATGAAAAGGCAGAAATAGAAAACAAACTCAAAGAGACCGAAACAGCAGCTGATGAGAGAATAGGACTGTTAGAAGATGAAAATAGGAGACTATTGAACAGACTCAACAAAATACAGAGCAATGAAACACAGCTACGATCAATAATTGTTGGATTAGAGAACGAGGCCAGGTCAAATGCTTCTTCTAATGAGTCCAGGTTGCATGGATTCCAATCTGAAATATTGAACATGAGAAATGAGAATGAGATACTCAAAGCCAAGGCAAGTGATCTCTCACATCTCAGAAAACAGCTGGATGAATACAGTCGAGAGATGTCACGATTAGAAGACAGAAACAATCAGATTATAACAGAAAACAACGACCTGAATAACGAGATCAATAAGTTGAAGATAGAGAATCAGGGAATGAATAATAGCAATATGACTGCAGTTACAAACAACAGAATGGTGATCAATGATCTAAATCAGAAGAATGAGCAACTGATGAATGAAAACAGGAATTTGGTGCTGAAGATTGAATCAGCTAATGAAAATGTCAAATTTCTTGAAGAGAAGCTGGCATCCTACGACAGTGGCACTGAAACAAGGGAAACTGCCCTGATCAGCCAACTGGTAAATTATAAAAATGGAATGGTCAAATTCAGAAGCATCCTCAACGGAAAACTGGAAGAAATAAAAAGGAAGCTGATTGCAGTAGAGAAGGATGCTGCTGAAACCAAGGCATGTTGCAAACTAAGTGACGAATCACTGCGAATTATTCAGGAGGAAACTGGACTACGAGAAGACATCAACATCAATAAGTTCATCAATGGTCTCAAAATCAGAATCAATGGTCTCCAATCTGAGTTATCTGATACAATCAAAAGAAACAAGTCACTTGAGAAGACACGAGTGCTTCTGGAACATGAGAATAATGATATGGCACAATTCAAGAGCATTGGTGACCTGAAATCACAAATTGCTGAAGCAATGGAAGAATTGGCCTTGTGCCGTGGCTACATGCAGAAAAAGGCCAAGGAAAACACGGATCTAAAGAACACCAATGCCAAATTAACAGCAGAACACGGCAAAATCAGAAAACAACTTGAAAATGCAAGAAAGTTCTACGACGGCGTCACTGCCAAATACGGAGCCAATTGCGTACGCATTTGATCAAATGGCCTAATCACTCCTTCCAATCGACCATCAACTCGCTCTTATCCAAGTATTCCTCCACATCCTCCACTTCTGCTGAACTCCTTCCACCAAATCCCTCGTATCCAACAAATGAATCAATGAAATATCCATTTTTGAATACACAAACAAGTGGCAGTCTCCTGATACCCAATTTAACAGCCAGGGTCTTACACTTTGATGCATCAATCTTCCTGAATCCAATTCCCTCGTATTTCCCATTCTGTGCCACCTGAATAAGCAGGTTGTTCAACTCCCTACACTTACTGAAGTCATTGCTGTAAAAATGCACCAGAATGTTTGAACCACTCTTCTCACACTCTGCCATCAACTGATCCTCAGTCTCGTACTCTGCCACCAGCCTATTCCTCTCTTCGTACTTCTCTCTGGCGTACTCGTCTATGAATTCATCACTCTCTCCTTCCATGAAGTTGTTTTTTGTCTTGGTCATTTTTGGTCTAAATGAGCCCAGAATGAACAAGTTGTACAAAAGAGTATTGAGGAATCTACAATTGGAAAGGGTAGTTGCAAATGGTGAGAGTACTGGTGAAAACACGTTGCTTAATGTCTACCTAGAGAATGGAGAGGATGCTGGAGTGAAGAAGAGAATTGGTGAGTTAATGGGAAGAAGAGACGAGGAGAAAAGAGGGAACACAAATGAAATGAGCAAGTCAGACGAGGGAGACCTGGAGAAGGTGCTTCAACTCTACGAGAATACGCTTAAATGCAAGAGTGTTCTAGAAGCAAATAAGAAGGAAGTTGAAGAGATAGAAAGAAAGGAGTTCAATAGGAAGAATGTGGGAATATTGGGCAACTTGAAGAATGAGACAGTGAGACAGCACAAACAGGGTGAATACAGAAATGAGATTGACCAGATACTGAGAGAGAGAACGGGGTGGAGCAAGGAGGTTGTGAGGCAGCTGGCTGAGAGAGGGGCAGTCTGCCTGGATGAGATATCGGAGAGGGTGGAAGAGAGGAAGAGTGTGCTATTGGCAGTCTACGACCTGGAAATGTGTGGAATTGTGGAATACGACAGAATCAGGGAGAGGGTGGAGTTCAAGGAGTTTGAAGAGGGTGGTTTGTGGTGAAATAAGCCATTCATTCTACGAGTAGTCCAATTCGGCCTCAGAGCCATCGATGATGGTTCCGTGGCCTACGAGTCGCCAGTTTCCCTTGACTTTCCTCGATATGGCCACTCTCTCGCCCTTTGCAACGCAACAGGGCTTAAGCAGCTCGAATTGGCCGAATTCGGCATTGATTTCGACTATTCTGCAACCAGTGGACGTGCTTGAGATGTTCAGCAGAATCTGCTCGTCCTTCTCAATCTCCTTCTTCTTGGTCGTGGCCGTCTTCTCAAACAGCCGATACTTCACCTTGATGGAGTAGTAGACTGGTGGCATCTTCCCATGCATCCCCATCACCATCCCAACCAGCTTGTCTGATTTGCTCACAAATGGATCCAAATCTGTTCCTAGTCCAATTAGTCCCCCTGGAATTGCTTCATCCAATTTTGTTCGTTCTGCATGAAGTGACGTCACCCTTGTCACGTAGGGCATGCACGCAAACCCGTTGCTGGTGACTCGAATCTGCCCTGGTCGTATTTCGATTGCGTCTCCCACCTTCACGGTCCCAGTCACAATCGACCCGCCTATTATTGCGCCTGCCAGCTTCCTGTGCTTCGTCCCAGGCTTGTTTACGTCAAATGACCTGATTATGACCATTTTTGGGTTTTCATCCAAGTTTCGTGCTGGCATCTTGATGTAGTTCACCAGGTAGTCGAGTACGGCGTCTATGTTCACTCGCAGCTGCCCCGATATGGGCACAATTGGCGCCTTGATTCTGGTGTTGTTCAGGAAGTCCTTGATCTGCTTGTACTGCTCAAACGACTGCTCCTTCGTAATCAGGTCTATTTTGTTCTGGAGAACCACGATGTTAGTCAGGTCCATTATTTCTAGGGCAAACAGGTGCTCCACTGTCTGTGGCTGTGGACATGGCTCATTTGCTGCAATCAGAAGACAGGCCCCGTCCATGATGGCCGTTCCATTGAGCATCGTGGCCATGAGAATGTCGTGTCCTGGACAGTCTACGAATGAAATGTGTCTCACGAGTNCCGATATGGGCACAATTGGCGCCTTGATTCTGGTGTTGTTCAGGAAGTCCTTGATCTGCTTGTACTGCTCAAACGACTGCTCCTTCGTAATCAGGTCTATTTTGTTCTGGAGAACCACGATGTTAGTCAGGTCCATTATTTCTAGGGCAAACAGGTGCTCCACTGTCTGTGGCTGTGGACATGGCTCATTTGCTGCAATCAGAAGACAGGCCCCGTCCATGATGGCCGTTCCATTGAGCATCGTGGCCATGAGAATGTCGTGTCCTGGACAGTCTACGAATGAAATGTGTCTCACGAGTAGGGCAACCCGGAAAAGTAAACAAAGGCAAATAACACCAGCTAGCAAACATGACACCATAAAACACTTGTAGGTAGCTTTACCTCAATGAAAGACGTAGTACTTTCAAAAACCCAAGCAAACAGGTTTGTTTCAGAATGTTTACAAAATGGGGTTTGGTGATTTCTGTTTATATTTATGTCAATAAAGATTACGTCCAATTCAAAAACCTTACTATATTAATATGATGTTAATAGGTAATGTGTAATATATATAATTGTTACCTTGTAAATGAGGGTAGTAAAGTTTTTATCCAAACCGGCCGAAAAAATAATGGTTTTACCCCTGAATACAATTTTTCGTCATGCGCACGTAATAGAACTATACCTCGGTATGTTTGTCCAGAATTTATGAGATTTTAAAAAATAATATTTCTCATCACATTTTATTGTATCTGATCATAACGTAAGCCTCAAAGTTGGCCATGTCGAAATTTCGATCCTTTGCCATCATTTTGGTCACCATAGAAAATGACCGCTCC